AACAAGTCTTTATCCCGACATTGAAACAAGTCTTTATCCCGACATTAAAACAAGTCTTTATCCCGACATTAAACAAGTCTTTACCCGACATTGAAACAAGTCTTTATCCCGACATTGAAACAAGTCTTTATCCCGACATTGAAACAAGTCTTTATCCCGACATTGAAACAAGTCTTTATCCCGACATTAAAACAAGTCTTTATCCCGACATTAAAACAAGTCTTTATCCCGACATTAAAACAAGTCTTTATCCCGACATTAAAACAAGTCTTTATCCCGACATTAAACAAGTCTTTATCCCGACATTGAAACAAGTCTTTATCCCGACATTGAAACAAGTCTTTATCCCGACATTAAACAAGTCTTTATCCCGACATTAAAACAAGTCTTTATCCCGACATTAAAACAAGTCTTTATCCCGACATTAAACAAGTCTTTATCCCGACATTGAAACAAGTCTTTATCCCGACATTGAAACAAGTCTTTATCCCGACATTGAAACAAGTCTTTATCCCGACATTGAAACAAGTCTTTATCCCGACATTGAAACAAGTCTTTATCCCGACATTGAAACAAGTCTTATCCCGACATTGAAAACAAGTCTTTATCCCGACATTGAAACAAGTCTTTATCCCGACATTGAAACAAGTCTTTATCCCGACATTGAAACAAGTCTTTATCCCGACATTGAAACAAGTCTTTATCCCGACATTGAAACAAGTCTTTATCCCGACATTGAAAACAAGTCTTTATCCCGACATTGAAACAAGTCTTTATCCCGACATTGAAACAAGTCTTTATCCCGACATTGAAACAAGTCTTTATCCCGACATTGAAACAAGTCTTTATCCCGACATTGAAACAAGTCTTTATCCCGACATTGAAACAAGTCTTTATCCCGACATTGAAACAAGTCTTTATCCCGACATTGAAACAAGTCTTTATCCCGACATTGAAACAAGTCTTTATCCCGACATTAAAACAAGTCTTTATCCACGACATTGAAACAAGTCTTTATCCCGACATTGAAACAAGTCTTTATCCCGACATTGAAAACAAGTCTTTATCCCGACATTGAAACAAGTCTTTAATTCCCGACATTGAACAAGTCTTTATCCCGACATTGAAACTAGTCTTTATCCCGACATTGAAACAAGTCTTTATCCCGACATTGAAACAAGTCTTTATCCCGACATTGAAACAAGTCTTTATCCCGACATTGAACAAGTCTTTATCCCGACATTGAAACAAGTCTTTATCCCGACATTGAAACAAGTCTTTATCCCGACATTGAAAACAAGTCTTTATCCCGACATTGAACAAGTCTTTATCCCGACATTGAAACAAGTCTTTATCCCGACATTGAAACAAGTCTTTATCCCGACATTGAAACAAGTCTTTTATATCCCGACATTGAAACAAGTCTTTATCCCGACATTAAAACAAGGTCTTTATCCCGACATTGAAAACAAGTCTTTATCCCGACATTGAAACAAGTCTTTATCCCGACATTAAAACAAGTCTTTATCCCGACATTGAAACAAGTCTTTATCCCGACATTGAAACAAGTCTTTATCCCGACATTGAAACAAGTCTTTATCCCGACATGAAACAAGTCTTTATCCCGACATTGAAACAAGTCTTTATCCCGACATTGAAACAAGTCTTTATCCCGACATTGAAACAAGTCTTATCCCCGACATTGAAACAAGTCTTTATCCCGACATTGAAACAAGTCTTTATCCCGACATTGAAACAAGTCTTTATCCCGACATTGAAACAAGTATTTATCCCGACATTGAAACAAGTCTTTATCCCGACATTGAAACAAGTCTTTATCCCGACATTGAAACAAGTCTTTATCCCGACATTGAAACAAGTCTTTATCCCGACATTGAAACAAGTCTTTATCCCGACATTGAAACAAGTCTTTATCCCGACATTAAAACAATCTTATCCCGACATTGAAACAAGTCTTTATTCCCCCGACATTGAAACAAGTTCCTTTTATGCCCTACATTGAAACAATTCTTTATCCCGACATTAAAACAAGTCCTTTATCCCTACATTAAAACAAGTCTTTATCCCGACATTGAACAAGTCTTATCCCACATTGAAACAGTTCTTTATCCCGACATTTTTAAAAAAAAACAAGTCTTTATCCCGACCATTGAAACAAGATGCTTTTATCCCGCATTAAACAAGTCTTTATCCCGACATTAAAACAAGTCTTTATTGAAGAATTGGGAAACGGGTCCCATCTGACCGAGGACCACAGGAAGATGGTGGTATCAATGCACATGTTATGGAAAGCTTAGAGGAAGAGGAGCAGCTCACCTGAGAGACGTAGGTTTCTGAGGAACCTGTCCCACCTGCAGAGCCACTTCCTGCAGAGCCACTTCCTGTTGACTCCTTCAGGGAATGCTTTCTCTCTGAGGTCATCTACCTTTCTACATTGCTTCTGTTTCCACTGGAGATGTTGTGTTCTCATGTTTGTTCCTTTAGACCAGGGGTTAGGGGACTAGAGTTTTTCCTCTCCAATTCAATTTTTTCAACATCCTCCGAGGGCCGTTCAAATTATTGACCTCTGCTTAAAAATGCTAAAATTCATTCATTTGGCCTTGGCTTTCTTTCATGCTGTGCAAAGAAAAAGCAACCTCTTAATCCAGATATCTTACCATGACTCGCGCATGATGTGTGCAAATGTATTTAGTTTCCTATCCATATGCACATGATTTCAGTTGGGGGGGACCTAACCTCCTCTAGGGGGGTCCGGGGGGCATGCTCCCCCGGGAAGATTGTTTTTAAATGTTGAAGTTAAAAGCATCAATCTGGTGCACTTTGAGAGCAACATTAGTAGATCTATGGAAACATCTCTCAACACCCAGATGAAACAGAACTGTAAACAGATTTATTTTTCATTATGGATATTTTACAAATCACTCTCCTTTTAAACTGTATTCTTGTTTATTAATAACAACTTTTTTTCCTGTCATATAGTATTTTATACCTGTTTACTTTATTCTCTTATTTTTTATAACCATAATGATCATATAAAGATGTGCCTTTACCTCACTGGTTGGAGAAAAAGCTTCTTATATTCATTAGCATAGCTAGCTAACCAGATGCTAATAACAACACAGTTATTGACTGTATGATCAGTGTGACAGATGAGCAGATCGCCACTGGGCTTTCAACTAAAGACACAGCCACGCAGAAACTGCAGTATGTGTACGGCTCCTTATGGGTACTGCAGTTTGTGAAGTCCCTGCCCGGAGCCGTTCTGGTGCTCTCCGTCAGAACTGCACCCTGTCAGACGAGACATATACCACGTGATGACACGTTAGGCTCGTGTTGTGTTCAAGGACCCTGACCCTGACCAGGAAAAACAGGCACTCGCTTGTTTAATTTTTTTGCGGTCTAGATTTCTTACACATTTTTCTTTTTTGCGTGTGTTTATAAATTACCTCGAGGGCCGTACCAAATGGTCTCGCGGGCCGTATACGGCCCGGGGGCCGGAGGTTCCCCACCCCTGCTTTAGACTCACGTGCTCTGTGCTTTGACTTGATGACCTTACTTTTCTGCCTCCTGTTGTTCCTGTGAAGCACTTTGTGAATTATCTTTCTGTGAAAGGTGCTATAGGAAATAAAGATATTATTAATGTAGGACTCGCCCTCTCCAACGAGCTCATCAGCAGAGACGAGATATTATATCATTAATATGATCTCTGATCCAGAATCAGTCAGCGCCACGAAGAGGAGCATGCAGCCTCCGCAGACCCTTTACATCTCAATATCAATATCAATCTTTATTCATTCATAGCACATTTAAAACCACCTCAGTGACCAAAGGGCTGAACAGGGAATATAGAATCACACAAAGGGAGTACAATAATAAACATAAAACAAGACAAAAAGCACAATAACTAGAAACATATAAAAAGTAGGGCTGTCAGTCGATTAAAATAGTTCATCGCGATTAATCGCAAATTAATCACACATTTTTGATCTGTTCTAAATGTACCTTAGAGGAATATTCTTTTTAGTTTTTAATACTCTTATCAACATATGAGTGGACAAATATGCTTTATGCTAATTTGTATTATCATTTGAACAATGACAAATATTCTCATGAATATTAAACACAACAACCTGTGTGTGTGTGTGTGTGTGTGTGTGTGTGAGGCTGTGACAATGTGTGTGTGTGTGTGTGTGTGTGTGTGTGTGTGTGTGTGTGTGTGTGTGTGTGTGTGTGTGTGTGTGTGTGTGTGTGTGTGTGTGTGTGTGTGTGTGTGTGTGTGTGTGTGTGTGTGTGTGTGTGTGTGTGTGTGTGTGTGTGTGTGTGTGTGTGTGTGTGTGTGTGTGTGTGTGATGGATCGTTGGAGCTATGTGCAACTCAAGGCATATGCTCGAACGGGAGCTACCTGGACGCTAAAATCATGTTGCGCACTATCCGTGCTGAGTGTGCTGACTTCTCGTACAATGTCCCACTGTCTGGCTTCCTGCATAAAGTCAAGTGCTCGGCGCAGTTGTGGCGAAATGTCGCTCCTCTGTTTTCATTTAAACAGCTCCTTATATCCGTTAGCGCAGCTAGCTAGCACCAGATGCTAACAACAACAATACACGTAAGGTCTCTCTCTCGCTCGCTCGGGCCACACATACACACACCCTCCATGTCCTCCCAACAGCCAGTCGGTGCCTGCCGGTGAGCGTGGAAGTGTGGTCTGCTGCAAGCGGGCGGCAGGAGCGGGGCTGTCAGCATCAGCTTGCAGATGGTATTTTAAACTCGATGCGCTCTGAAACTACGGGGCGGCCGAGGAAAAAAAATACACATGCGTTAATCGCGTTAAAATAATTAGTGGTGTTAATTTTTTTTTGTTAACGCGTTAACTTGACAGCCCTAATAAAAACATATAGAAATGTAAAAATGTCATGTTCAACTAGTATTACAACACAGGGGGGAGGTACCACAGAAGAAGAACAGGGTCCTTCACACAGAGACACGTACAAATATCAGGTTTATTAAATAAAATACACAAAGCAGGTAAACACAAACATGGCAGTGATTGGTTCCTGTTGTTTACTCCAGGAATATAAAGAGTCTACTTTCATTGGTCCCAAAGACCAGGTGCACCTGTTTGCCCTAAGCCCCGCCTCTCGCCACTAAGCCTCTCACCACTAAGCGCCTCTCCCCGCTAATCCCGCCACTCATCACTAAGCCCCGCCTTTCACCACTAAGCCCCGCCTCTCACTGCTAAGCCCCGCCTCTCACCACTAAGCCCCGCATCACTAATCCCCACCTCTCACTACTAAGCACCGCCTCTCACCACTAAGCCCCACCTCTCACCACCAAGACCCGCCTTTCACAACTAAGCGCCTCTCACCACTAAGCCCCGCCTCTCACTACTAAGCCCCACCTCTCACCACTAAGCCCCGCCTCTCACCACTAAGCCCCACCTCTCACCACCAAGACCCGCCTCTCACCACTAAGCCCCGCCTCTCACCACTAAGCCCCGCCTTTCACAACTAAGCCCCTCTCACCACTAAGCCCCGCCTCTCACCACTAAGCCCTGCCTCTCACCACTAAGCGCCACCTCACACCACTGCTAGAGGGCGGAGCTTCTGTTAGTGGGCGGAGCTCCGGGGAGAATCTCGTACTCGCTGCCATCAACGCCCTCACCGTTGTCTTCCAGCTGGTAAACGTTTTCCACGACCGAGCCTCGACTCTGCATCTCCGACGCCGCCGAGCCGAGGAACTGAAGCTCCGAGCTGCGAGAGAAAAATATATATTAAGAATCAGGGTTTATTTATCCCGGGAGGAAATTGGGTTTCATCACAGTTACTCCACTTCAGTTTAAAAATGAATACAAATAATACATTTTAAAAGGTCACCTATCATGCTATCTCTAGGCAATAGCATAGGTCTCAGATATATAAAAATATATAAAAAACATGTCTATGAAGTGTTTTGCTCAAAATACCTCACGATGTCGATCTAATTGTGAACTTGCTTTACTTTCACGGAACACATTTTTGGTGAAAACAAACAAATGTAACAAAGTCACATATTTACCAACACATGTTCTACGCCACTACATACTTGTGCTGCGTCGGTTCAGCAATTCTCCGCAAGGGTTTTTTAAATGTATCCGTGCGCAAAGCATTGTGGGGATTTTAAGGACGCAAAGTCTACCCATGTGCAGCCTCGAAATTTCCCCCAAACCAAGGACGCGGCCTCGGTGGAATTCCAGGTATGCTGGAGATTGGAACAGTCCTTCGGCGGCACTCGACGACGTAGCATCCTTGAAATATTGGCTTTGAAGCCAGAATCCTCGAGATTGAGAAACGGCCCCTGTGTCTCAATGAGATGTTCACCTGTATAAATAAAGGCTTTCAACTGAAATAAATCAAAATAAGAGGGGGCGGAGCTTATGCCAACCTGGCAGATACTGTCTAAAATGCTGCGGTGATGAAATGCAAGGATTATCAGATCAAGGATTCTCTCTGAAACAGTCTGGAGCTCAAAGGCTTTCTCTCTTGCCGGTTATACCACAAGGTGAGTTCCTTTTTACTTCCTGCTTCTTCACACACATGCTCTCCAGTACAGGTTAGCTCTGAGTGTTAGCGATGCTAATGTAAACACCGACCATATTACGTCCAAAACAGTCGGGCATTGTTTCTGATAGCAACTTTCTGATTGGGCCGTGGGTCCACATTTCAGATATTACGTCATATCGGACGCAAATCTGGATCAGCTCCGTGGTTCCCCGTTTTTAGAGATTTGGGTACGGAGGAAAAGAGAGAGGGTTTATTTCTTGACGCTGCGTGAGTTCCCCGACACACCGGGGATACAGCGGGGACACAGCGGGGACACAGCGGGGGCACACCGGGGACTAGGGATGGGTATCGTTTGAAATTTATCGATTCCGATTTCGATTCCGGTTCTGCTTATCGATTCCGGTTCTTATCGATTCCCCGTTTCGATTCCAAAATTGTAAAATAAAGAGGTCAAACGTTTAGATAACAAAAATATATTTATTCTTAAAAGCTTTAACTGAAATTGTTACTAAAAAATATACATGCAATACAAATGTATTGCACAATAGCTGTGCTTTATTTTAACTGAGCTATGCCTGTGGCAAGCTATTAACAGGCATTACACTGTGCCTTGTCTTTTTATTTTTTAGTGTAGTGGAGCCTCACTTCAGAGTGTTTACCGCGACCTATCTTTGGTGTTATGAAGTGACTGAGCTCGTGAAATGTCTACGGGAGGGCGGGGGAGCATCGCTGCGGGGCAACTGTGGACCTCTGTCGCCTGTCAGCGCAATTTATATGATGCCGTTTAAAAAAAATGAAGGGCGGTGCCGGCCGTCAGCGTACCGAGCCGGCCGTCAACGGCCCGCTGACGACCGGCCGTTCTGTGATTCTCCAGGTCCGCCCTGTATTCCACCGGGTCACCGCAGCACCGCGGTGCAGACGGACCCGCTGGAATACAGGGTCTACCGCGTTTAGGAACCGTTAAGCAGAACCGAAATTGTGTATTTTGTATGGGTACCCGGTACCCGGCATTTTCTTATCGGTTCTCATCTGGAACCGAGTTTCGGTTCCCAACCCTACCGGGGACACACCGGGGACACACCGGGGATACAGCGGGGGCACACCGGGGACACATGTTGATGTAGAGAAGACATCACAAAGTGCATTCTGCATGGAGACCTTTAAAATATGTAATACAAAAAAAAGTAAAGATTTAGTCGATTTTTGGCATTTCCGATAAAACTTTTATTTAGCTAAATTAAATAATATTTGTATTTTCTACTAAAAACTGTTTTTTACTGAAATGTTTTATTCTCTTTTTTGTGTGCAATTTTGTTATTTGTTTGTTTTTATTTTTGAGGTCTTCCACTTATTTTTTCTTTTATGATCTGCATTTTCTCGTCTTTGTGGTTTATAAACATTAAGTTGTGTAAAAATCTGCACATTTTACTAAAATCATCACAACTTATGTGAAAATGAGAAAATGACCATATGATAGTGGTATAGTATTAATAAAGTTATCAACGATGAAACTCAGTTTATTGTTGGAAATCTTCAGTTAGCTTTGAATGAAACAGTATTTGTTAGCCTCAGACAAGGGACTTGTCTCTATTCTTGTTTTGCTCGATCTCAGTGCTGCATTTGATACTATCGACCATGATATCTTATTGCAAAGACTAGAGCACTTAGTTGGCATACAGGGAACTGCTTTAGACTGGTTTAGGTCCTATCTATCTGAACGCTCTCAGTTTGTACGTGTCAATGATGAATCTTCCACGCAAACCAAAGTTAGCCATGGAGTGCCACAGGGCTCAGTGCTCGGACCTATTTTGTTCACATTATATATGCTTCCGTTAGGCAATATTATAAGGAATCATTCTGTACATTTTCATTGTTATGCGGATGATACTCAACTATATTTATCAATCAAGCCTGATGAAATTAATCATCTAAATAAAATTCAAGACTGCCTCAAGGACTTAAAAACGTGGATGACCTTAAACTTTTTGATGTTAAACACGACCAAAACTGAAGTTATTGTACTTGGCCCGAAGAATCTACGAAACAAATTATCTAAAGATATACTAACTATGGATGGCATTAATTTGGCCTCCAGTGAGACTGTAAGGAATCTTGGTGTTATATTTGATCAGGATTTATCCTTTAACGCCCACATAAAATCAATTTCAAGGACCGCCTACTTCCATCTACGTAACATTGCAAAAATCAGGCATATCTTGCCTCAAAACGATGCAGAGAAACTAGTCCATGCATTTGTTACTTCAAGGCTGGATTATTGTAACTCCTTATTATCAGGGTGTACCAAGAAGTCAGTCAAGTCGCTTCAGCTGATTCAAAATGCTGCAGCTCGTGTACTAACCAGAGTTAGGAAAAGGGACCACATTACTCCTGTTCTGGCTGCCTTACACTGGCTCCATATAGAACACAGGATAGAATTTAAAATTCTTCTTCTCGCCTACAAAGCCCTTAATGGGCAGGCGCCATCTTACCTTAAAGAACTCATTATACCCTACTGTCCTACTAGGGCATTGTGTTCCAAGAATGCAGGGTTGTTGGTTGTTCCTAGAGTCTCTAAAAGTACAATGGGAGCCAGAGCCTTTTCTTATCAAGCTCCACATTTGTGGAATCAGCTTCCAGTTTGTGTTCGGGCGGCAGACACCCTATCCGTTTTTAAGAGTGCGCTTAAGACCTTCCTTTTTGATAAAGCTTATAGTTAGGGCTGATTAGATTCAGCCCCTAGTTTTGCTGATATAGGCTTAGTTTGTCGGGGGACATCTTACTTCTTCCTTCTCTCTGTCTATACCTGTGTACACTCATGTTCCCATTAACCCAGCTTCCCCAAATCTCTTTCTTTTTGGTGTCTATATACGCCGGGATCCGGAGTCATGGATGATCCTGCGCTCCTGTGTCCTGCATCGTGAGCCCTGGATCTTGAGTCGTGGCTGTGGTCCTGGATCATAGGTCCTGGATGGATATCCTCGTGGATTCATCTTCCTATTATACACACATGCATTTCCAAACATTTGGACTACCTATGTTGCAAATGTATTATCTCTTGGATTTACACACGGCATCTATTGCACGTCTGTCCGTCCTGGGAGAGGGATCCCTCCTCTGTTGCTCTCCCTGAGGTTTCTCCCATGTTCCCTTTAAACTGTGGGTTTTCTCTGGAAGTTTTTCCTTGTACGATGTGAGGGTCTAAGGACAGAGGGTCTAAGGACAGAGGGTCTGAGGACAGAGGGTCTAAGGACAGAGGGTCTGAGGACAGAGGGTCTAAGGACAGAGGGTCTAAGGACAGAGGGTCTAAGAACAGAGGGTCTAAGCTCAGAGGGTCTAAGGACAGAGGGTCTAAGGACAGAGGGTGTCGTATTGTCATACTGATATTCTGTACAAACTGTGAAGCTCACTGAGACAAATGTAAGATGTGTGATATTGGGCTATATAAATAAACATTGATTGATTGATATTTCCCGGAGCATATTTAAGCTTTATGCTATTTATTTAGCATCAGGTTATAACAGGGATTTCTGTTGATCTGAAATCAGCTCTTATTGAGGTTTTTATTCCACTCATCAGAGTTCTGAGTCCTAAATATGATTAGTAGTGACTTCCTGCTGACGGTGGGGTTCTGTTCTGACAGATCGAGGTCTCTGAGTTTCACTCTGAGTCTCTGAGCTGGTAACGGTCTGTCGGGGGGGAACTGTGCGTCGGGGGGGGGGAACTGTGCGTCGGGGGGGAACTGTGCGTGATGGGGGGGAACGGTGCGACCCCGAGGTCCCCGAGACGCTGTGAAACCGCTGAGTTGTGACGTCTCTGCTGAGTCACTAACCACTGACTCTATGAGAGAAACTAAAGTGTGTGAAGAAGAAGAAGTTTCCTCTGAAGGCGTCAGCTGTGAAACTCACTTTTTGCTGAGGCGCCTCCGTCTGCTGGCTGCAGAAATAAGAGAAGAGAAGAGGAAAACACAGTTACTGAGGATCTGAGGATCTGATGGTGTGATAAACAAACACCATCAGAGGAAATGTTGATCTGCAACAAAATAAACGAATAAAACTCACCGAGAACAACGATTGCAGCGACCAGCGTTATTGGAGCTAGCGCCCCGAACACAACACTCAGCAGAAACACACTGCTACCATCCTGACACACACACACACACACACACACACACACACACACACACACACACACACACACACACACACACACACACAAATATAGTTTTAAAGGTAATACATTACAAGCATTGTATGTTTAATTAAGCTAACATCAGCTATTTACACAGCTAACACACATGTGACGCTACATTTACATTTCATTAAAGTTCTTTGTTGTCAGATATCATTTAAAAGTGTAAGGCTAACTAACAGGCTAACTAACAGGCTAACTAACAGGCTAACAGACAGGCTAACTACACTGAACAAAAATATAAACGCAACACTTTTGTTTTTGCTCCCATTTCTCATGAGATGAACTCAAAGATCTAAAACATTTTCTATAAACACAAAATAACCATTTCTCTCAAATATTGTTCACAAATCTGAAAGAATCTGTGATCGTGAGCACTTCTCCTTTGCCGAGATAATCCATCCCACCTCACAGGTGTGGCATATCAAGATGCTGATTAGACAGCATGATTATTGCACAGGTGTGCCTTAGGCTGGCCACAATAAAAGGCCACTCTGAAACGTGCAGTTTTATCACACAGCACAATGCCACAGATGTGGCAGGTTTTGAGGGAGCGTGCAATTGGCATGCTGACAGCAGGAATGTCCACCAGAGCTGTTGCCCGTGAATTGAATGTTCATTTCTCGACCATAAGCCGTCTCCAAAGGCGTTTCAGAGAATTTGGCAGTACATCTAACCGGCCTCACAACCGCAGACCACGTGTAACCACAGCAGCCCAGGACCTCCACATCCAGCATGTTCACCTCCAAGATCGTCTGAGACCAGCCGCTCGGACAGCTGCTGCAACAATCGCTTTGCATAACCAAAGAATTTCTGCTGTCAGAAACCGTCTCAGGGAAGCTCATCTGCATGCTCGTCGTCCTCATCGGGGTCTCCACCTGACTCCGGTTCGTCGTCGTAACTGACTTGAGTGGGCAAATGCTCACATTCGATGGCGTCTGGCACGTTGGAGAGGTGTTCTCTTCACGGATGAATCCCGGTTTTCACTGTTCAGGGCAGATGGCAGACAGCGTGTGTGGCGTCGTGTGGGTGAGCGGTTTTCTGATGTCAATGTTGTGAATCGAGTGGCCCATGGTGGTGGTGGGGTTATGGTATGGGCAGGCGTATGTTATGGACGACGAACACAGGTGCATTTTATTGATGGCATTGTGAATGCACAGAGACACCGTGACGAGATCCTGAGGCCCATTGTTGTGCCATTCATCCACGACCATCACCTCATGTTGCAGCATGATAATGCACGCCCCCATGTTGCAAGGATCTGTACACAATTCCTGGAGGCTGAAAACATCCCAGTTCTTGCATGGCCAGCATACTCACCGGACATGTCACCCATTGAGCATGTTTGGGATGCTCTGGATCGGCGTATACGACAGCGTGTTCCAGTTCCTGCCAATATCCAGCAGCTTGGCACAGCCATTGAAGAGGAGTGGACCAATCACAGGCCACAATCAACAACCTGATCAACTCTATGCCAAGGAGATGTGTTGCACTGCGTGAGGCAGATGGTGGTCACACCAGATACTGACTGGTTTTCGGACCCCCCCAGACCCCCCCAATAAAGCAAAACTGCACGTTTCAGAGTGGCCTTTTATTGTGGCCAGCCTAAGGCACACCTGTGCAATAATCATGCTGTCTAATCAGCATCTTGATATGCCACACCTGTGAGGTTTGATTGATTGATTGAAAAGTTTATTAACAGCTTGTATATTGGGTACAGTACAGTACAGCTCAAAACATACAATTGTTAAGGGGATGCAGACCAGAGAAAGACTTTCGTCTTGTTTACATCAGGGTCCCCCATTTCCAATTCATCATGTCATTTAAGACATATAAGACATATTTGACATACAGATTGCTTATTAACCATTTTCATTTTAGATTTGGTTCTAATACATCCTAACCGGACATTTAAGACATACCAAGTCTACAGATATACAGTTAGTAACAGAGTCTAAAATGTGAGTATATACATAGATGGGGGGGGGGGAAGCTGTCCATTGAACGACAGGTTGAGATTTGTACCATTACCGGGGCCAGTTTTGCAATGCTCTCCCCCGAAGGTGCTCTTTAAGAGAGGTTTTGAAGGTAAGTATAGTTTTACTTTCCTTTACAGTTGTGGGAAGAGCGTTCCACCTTGATGTGGCATCATTGCGAAACCTGTGAGGTGGGATGGATTATCTCGGCAAAGGAGAAGTGCTCACTATCACAGATTATTTCAGATTTGTGAACAATATTTGAGAGAAATGGTTATTTTGTGTTTATAGAAAATGTTTTAGATCTTTGAGTTCATCTCATGAGAAATGGGAGCAAAAACAAAAGTGTTGTGTTTATATTTTTGTTCAGTGTAACAGACTAACCAACAGGCTAACATACAGGCTAACTAACTAACTAACTAACTAACTAACTAACTAACTAACTAACTAACTAACTATCTAACCAACCAACCGGCTAACTTACTAACAGGCTAACATACAGGCTAACTAACTAACTAACTAACTAACTAACTAACTAACTAACTAACTAACTAACTATCTAACCAACCAACCGGCTAACTTACTAACAGGCTAACATACAGGCTAACTAACTAACTATCTAACTAACTAACTAACTAACTATCTAACCAACTAACTAACTATCTAACCAACCAACCGGCTGACTTACTAACAGGCTAACTAACTAACTAATTAACTAACTAATTAACTAACTATCTAATGTATCATGAATTAAATTGAAAGACGTTAATCCTCTCCCCCGGGATGTCCCTCACCTCGGGGGAGAGGCTGCTGTTGGTCTGGAGGATCTGAGTGGAGTTCATCTGATCTGATGACAAGGGAACAAGAGAGTATTATACACCGTATACATATAATGTAGTTTGTGTGTGTGTGTGTGTGTGTGTGTGTGTGTGTGTGTGTGTTACCTGCTGCTGTGTGTGTGTTACCAGCTGCTGTGTGTGTGTGTTACCTGCTGCTGTGTGTGTGTGTGTGTGTTACCTGCTGATGTGTGTGTGTGTTACCTGCTGCTGTGTGTGTGTGTGTGTTACCTGCTGCTGTATGTGTGTGTGTATGTGTGTGTTGCCTGCTGATGTGTGTGTGTGTGTGTGTTACCTGCTGCTGTGTGTGTGTTACCAGCTGCTGTGTGTGTGTGTTACCTGCTGCTGTGTGTGTGTGTGAGTGTGTGTGTGTGTGTTACCTGCTGATGTGTGTGTGTGTTACCTGCTGCTGTGTGTGTGTGTTACCTGCTGCTGTATGTGTGTGTGTATGTGTGTGTTGCCTGCTGATGTGTGTGTGTGTGTGTTACCTGCTGCTGTGTGTGTGTGTGTATGCTCTGTAGTCGTGTTTAAAGGTGTCGATGTGGTCGTCTTTGGAGCTGAAACAGAAACATTGTTATTTTTAACGTCTGCAATAAACATTTATTTTCCAGTTTTCTGTGAAACTTTTTTTGTGTTTTTTTAAGATTTATTAAAAACCCACATTTTGTGTAATTACACTTTTTTACATTTTAGGATTTTGAAAAGTTTCAAAAAAATATAATTTTCATTATTTCAAAATGTTCAACTTTTTAGAGATATTTAACTTGTGATCTTTCTGTGTTTCCACTCCAATATGTTCTTTTTATTTAATTTGTTGTGGTTTCCACGGTAACCTCTTTCATGATATCTTAAAGATGTTGTTTCGTTGTCGGAATTTTTACTTTTTTGTTGTTATTTTAGATTTGTTGTAAAACTTTGCTTTCCCAACTAAAATAAAAAAACTCAAACTTCAAATTGTTTGAGATTTCACTGAAACTTGATCTGAGATTTTCTTGAATTTATGGCAGTGAAGGAATCCTAAAGGGAAGAAGCTGAAGACCACAACTCCCATGATGCACCTCACCTAAATGTGACTGTTGTTTTCATTCAAAGTAACAACCCTCACCTCTCTCCACACTCAGATCGATGTGATGTGCTTCGTCATTGAACCACCCCTTGATTTGCACCCTGCAGCCGTATCGTCCTGCGTCCGTCTCTAAGACGTTGAGGACGGTCAGGGAAACGTCTCCGTCCTGCAGGCGACCCAGAAACCGGTACCTGCTGGAAGCCCCGCCCCCAAACGTCACCAGACGTCCGTCTGAAGCAATTAGCTGGTTGTTGCAGCCGGAGTTTGGGATGTCTCCCCGACCCCAACACATAGACAGGGCTCCGTGGTATTTAATGTCATATTTACAGGTCAGATTCACGTCCTGACCTGAGACACTCGTCACTTTGAGGGCGGATCCTCCAGAGACTGAGGAGACAACAAATCAACAAACATCAAATCAACAAACGTAAACTGTGATCGCTGTCTGAAGACTTCTCGCTGGGAAATCTGATACCTGTTTATATCCATCACTGTTTCACCGTTACCAACCGCCACATTTCTGTATTACACGTCACAAGTCTTAGCACTCAAGTCCCAAATCAAGTCTTAGCACTCAAGTCCCAAATCAAGTCTTAGCACTCAAGTCCCAAATCAAGTCTTAGCACTCAAGTCCCAAATCAAGTCTTAGCACTCAAGTCCCAAATCAAGTCTTAGCACTCAAGTCCCAAATCAAGTCAATTATGTCCCAAGTGGAGTCCAAAAGGCAGGTTCCAAATCAAGACTGCCAAGATTCAAATCAAGTCTTAGCACTCAAGTCCCAAGTGATGAGTCCAAACTCAAGTCCCAAGTGATGAGTCCAAACTCAAGACCAAGTCCCAAGTCCCAAGTGATGAGTCCAAACTCAAGTCCCAAGTCCCAAGTGATGAGTCCAAACTCAAGTCCCAAGTCCCAAGTGATGAGTCCAAACTCAAGTCCCAAGTGATGAGTCCAAACTCAAGTCCCAAGTCCCAAGTGATGAGTCCAAACTCAAGTCCCAAGTGATGAGTCCAAACTCAAGTCCCAAGTCCCAAGTGATGAGTCCAAACTCAAGTCCCAAGTCCCAAGTGATGAGTCCAAACTCAAGACCAACAAGTCCCAACTCCAGTCTGTGGGTCAAGTGTTCGACCCAGAGTCTCAGAGGTGACGTGTTTAATGTCCACAGAAAGCACGGATGAAACAGAGGAGAGCAGCAGATCTCCAGACGCAGAGAAACACTGAAGAGAAGTGCGTTTAAATAACTAGAAATAAACAGCTTTAACATTAAGTTCAGCAAGTCGTTCAAAATATAATAAAATACTAAAAAATATGTATTTATTTCAACAACAGTTAACATGTTGCCCACAAAGCTTCACTGTTTTAAATCATTTTAAATATTAAAAACCCGACTTTCTGTAAAACATGTAAACAAACACTACTATTACAAGTTACCTGAGAGCAGAGCGAGGATCAGAGGGAGCTTCATCATGAACACACTCTCACACACTGACACTCACACGTAATAGAACACTGACATCATCACACACACACACACACACACACACACACACACACACACACACACACACACACACACACACACACACACACTGGGAGTCACACAGCACGCACACGCGCACACACACACACACACACACACACACACACACACACACACACACACACTGCCAGTCACACATCACGCACACACACACACACACACACACACACACACACACACACACACACACTGCCAGTCACACAGCATGCACGCACACACCCACACACACACACACACACACACACACACACACACACACACACACACACACACACTGGGAGTCACACAGCACGCACACGCACACACACACACACACACACACACACTGCCAGTCACACAGCACGCACACACACACACACACACACACACACACACACTGCCAGTCACACAGCATGCACGCACACACCCACACACACACACACACACACACACACACACACACACACACACACACACACACACACACACACACACACACTGGGAGTCACACAGCACACACACACACTGCCAGTCACACAGCACGCACGCACACACACACACACACACACACACACACACACACACACACACACACACACACACTGCCAGTCACACAGCACACACACACACACACACACACACACACACACACACACACACACACACACACAGTGCACACAGTGCACGCTGCCCACGGCGTCTTTAAACAGAAGAAGCCTCAAAAAGCCTGAGTTTGACTTGATTGAAATGTAAACATGAGAGAAGCATCGAGGCTTTCATGAGAGCACATTCTGATGGGATCACTCCGAGGGAGCCGGTCATTGATTAAGACCTACACATTGAAAGCTAGTTTGGTAATGAAATGTGATGTTTTAATGTTGTATTTATTAATGCTGAGCTCACAGGAAGAGTCGCTCTGAGCGATGATCATGTGGTCAGCGTCTGACTTCCTGTCAGCAGCAGATGGAGGAGTCAGCTACTTCCTGTCTGAGCCTCGGGCGCAGTTTCACTTCTTCAGAAACACAGAGATCACACTGAGAGAGATATCTGAGTCTGAAACACAGAGAAATATCTGAGTCTGAAACACAGAGAAATATCTGAGTCTGAAACACTGAGAGATATCTGAGTCTGAAACACTGAGAGATATCTGAGTCTGAAACACAGAGAAATATCTGAGTCTGAAACACAGAGAAATATCTGAGTCTGAAACACAGAGAGATATCTGAGTCTGAAACACAGAGAGATATCTGAGTCTGAAACACAGAGAGATATCTGAGACTGAAACACAGAGAGATATCTGAGACTGAAACACAGAGAGATATCTGAGTCTGAAACACAAAGAAATATCTGAGTCTGAAACACAGAGATATCTGAGTCTGAAACACAGAGATCACACTGAGAGAGATATCTGAGTCTGAAACACAGAGAAATATCTGAGTCTGAAACACAGAGAAATATCTGAGTCTGAAACACTGAGAGATATCTGAGTCTGAAACACAGAGAGATATCTGAGTCTGAAACACTGAGAGATATCTGAGTCTGAAACACAGAGAGATATCTGAGTCTGAAACACAGAGAGATATCTGAGTCTGAAACACAGAGAGATATCTGAGTCTGAAACACAGAGAGATATCTGAGTCTGAAACACAGAGAGATATCTGAGTCTGAAACACAGAGAGATATCTGAGTCTGAAACACTGAGAGATATCTGAGTCTGAAACACAGAGATATCTGAGTCTGAAACACAGAGAGATATCTGAGTCTGAAACACAGAGAGATATCTGAGTCTGAAACACTGAGAGATATCTGAGTCTGAAACACTGAGAGATATCTGAGTCTGAAACACAGAGAGATATCTGAGTCTGAAACACTGAGAGATATCTGAGTCTGAAACACTGAGAGATATCTGAGTCTGAAACACAGAGATATCTGAGTCTGAAACACAGAGAGATATCTGAGTCTGAAACACTGAGAGATATCTGAGTCTGAAACACAGAGAGATATCTGAGTCTGAAACACAGAGAGATATCTGAGTCCTGAACACAGAGAGATATCTGAGTCTGAAACACAGAGAGAAGACTGAAACACAGAGAGAAGACTGAAACACAGAGAGAAGACTGAAACACAGAGAGAAGACTGAAACACAGAGAGAAGACTGAAACACAGAGTAAAGACTGAAACACAGAGAGAAGACTGAAACACAGAGTAAAGACTGAAACACAGAGAGAAGACTGAAACACTGAGAGATATCTGAGTCTGAAACACAGAGAGATATCTGAGTCTGAAACACAGAGAGATATCTGAGTCTGAAACACAGAGAGATATCTGAGTCTGAAACACAGAGAGATATCTGAGTCTGAAACACTGAGAGATATCTGAGTCTGAAACACAGAGAGATATCTGAGTCTGAAACACAGAGAGATATCTGAGTCTGAAACACAGAGATATCTGAGTCTGAAACAGATACTTTTATTAATCATTGGACCAAATGATGGTTTCAAAGATTTGTAATGAATATTTTTCACGAGAAACTTGAGTCACAGGTTCTTCAAACAATGCAATAAAATAATCTCATGGCCCTGATAGGAACACACAATATAAGACACATGATCAAGGCTTCTTGGCGATGTATCTCGTTGGAAAGCCGGTTTCTTCCCAATGGAGCCACGTTAGTGAGGAACCAGCATTAGTGAGGAACCAGCGTTAGTGAGGAACCAGCGTTAGTGAGGAACCAGCGTTAGTGAGGAACCAGCGTTAGTGAGGAACCAGCGTTAGTGAGGGACCAGCGTTAGTGAGGAACCAGCGTTAGTGAGGAACCAGCGTTAGTGAGGAACCAGCGTTAGTGAGGAACCAGCATGAGTGAGGAACCAGCGTTAGTGAGGAACCAGCGTTAGTGAGGGACCAGCGTTAGTGAGGAACCAGCGTTAGTGAGGAACCAGCATGAGTGAGGAACCAGCGTTAGTGAGGAACCAGCGTTAGTGAGGAACCAGCATGAGTGAGGAACCAGCGTTAGTGAGGAACCAGCGTTAGTGAGGAACCAGCATGAGTGAGGAACCAGCGTTAGTGAGGAACCAGCGAGGAACCAGCATGAGTGAGGAACCAGCGTTAGTGAGGAACCAGCATTAGTGAGGAACCAGCGTTAGTGAGGAACCAGCGTTAGTGAGGAACCAGCATGAGTGAGGAACCAGCGTTAGTGAGGAACCAGCGTTAGTGAGGAACCAGCATGAGTGAGGAACCAGCGTTAGTGAGGAACCAGCGTTAGTGAGGACCAGCGTTAGTGAGGAACCAGCGTTAGTGAGGAACCAGCGTTAGTGAGGGGAACCAGCGTTAGTGAGGGAACCAGCGTTAGTGAGGAACCAGCGTTAGTGAGGAACAAGCGTTAGTGAGGAACAAGCGTTAGTGAGGAACCAGCGTTAGTGAGGAACCAGCGTTAGTGAGGAACCAGCGTTAGTGAGGAACCAGCGTTAGTGAGGAACCAGCATGAGTGAGGAACCAGCGTTAGTGAGGAACCAGCGTTAGTGAGGAACCAGCGTTAGTGAGGAACCAGCGTTAGTGAGGAACCAGCGTTAGTGAGGAACCAGCGTTAGTGAGGAACCAGCGTTAGTGAGGAACCAGCGTTAGTGAGGAACCAGCGTTAGTGAGGAACCAGCGTTAGTGAGGAACCAGCATGAGTGAGGAACCAGCATGAGTGAGGAACCAGCGTTAGTGAGGAACCAGCGTTAGTGAGGAACCAGCGTTAGTGAGGAACCAGCATGAGTGAGGAACCAGCGTTAGTGAGGAACCAGCGTTAGTGAGGAACCAGCATGAGTGAGGAACCAGCGTTAGTGAGGAACCAGCGTTAGTGAGGAACCAGCGTTAGTGAGGAACCAGCGTTAGTGAGGAACCAGCGTTAGTGAGGAACCAGCGTTAGTGAGGAACCAGCGTTAGTGAGGAACCAGCATGAGTGAGGAACCAGCGTTAGTGAGGAACCAGCGTTAGTGAGGAACCAGCGTTAGTGAGGAACCAGCATGAGTGGGACGAGCAGAGCTGACTTTATAACCTTCGCTAGCTAGTTTGTTAGATGGGTAGCTAATGGAAGATAGCTAATGGCACTCTGGAACGCACCATAGCAACCTGGGGTCCTCGGCAAAAATAACTCCCTCTGATTGGCTGTTAAGCTTAACCAGTTCTTTCTTCTCAAATAGAAATTGGCCCTTGAGCTTTACTATTGCACCAGTGTCTCTCTGTGGGGACGTGAGGCTGGTTCTGGAGGGTGTGATGGTTCTGGAGGGTGTGATGGTTCTGTGATGGTTCTGGAGGGTGTGATGGTTCTGTGATGGTGTGATGGTTCTGTGATGGTTCTGTGATGGTGTCATGGTTCTGGAGGGTGTGATGGTTCTGGAGGGTGTGATGGTTCTGTGATGGTTCTGGAGGGTGTGATGGTTCTGTCATGGTTCTGGAGGGTGTCATGGTTCTGGAGGGTGTGATGGTTCTGGAGGGTGTGATGGTTCTGTGATGGTGTGATGGTTCTGGAGGGTGTCATGGTTCTGGAGGGTGTGATGGTTCTGGAGGGTGTGATGGTTCTGGAGGATGTGATGGTTCTGTGATGGTTCTGTGATGGTTCTGTGAGGGTTCTGGAGGGTGTGATGGTTCTGTGATGGTGTGATGGTTCTGGAGGGTGTCATGGTTCTGGAGGGTGTGATGGTTCTGGAGGGTGTGATGGTTCTGGAGGATGTGATGGTTCTGTGATGGTTCTGTGATGGTTCTGGAGGGTGTGATGGTTCTGTGATGGTTCTGTCATGGTTCTGGAGGGTGTGATGGTTCTGGAGGGTGTGATGGTTCTGGAGGGTGTGATGGTTCTGGAGGGTGTGATGGTTCTGGAGGGTGTGATGGTTCTGGAGGGTGTGATGGTTCTGGAGGATGTGATGGTTCTGTGATGGTTCTGTGATGGTTCTGGAGGGTGTGATGGTTCTGTGATGGTTCTGTCATGGTTCTGGAGGGTGTG